TCAAATATCAGAAGACCTCCAGCTTACTTAGGAACGAGGCAATTAGCACCCTCCGCACTAGTTTTCTTAGAGCCAGAAGTCGTGTTCAGAGAGCAAGAACAGGAGTGGACAGAGAGGAACGTAGAGGAATGTTCCGAGTGACCAGGGATAAAGCACAGCAAGTCAAACTGTTACAATGAGCTATGTCGAGACGTTGCTGCCAACTTCTGGGACGACTCATACCGTGTGGTGATGGCGAAGTCACCAACGAGGAACTGAACAGGCTAACGAAATGCACGGAGAGTGAGCAAGGATTGTCGGAGAGGCAGTTTGGATTCCAAAAAGGAAGAGCAATGGTGGATGCGCATTGCACAGTGTCCGCATTGGACAGTGGACAGAGCCGAGAAGTCGTCGAAAAAGAAACCAAGAGGAGATCGATATTACCCCATGATAACGATCGACGTCAAGACTGCGTTCAACAGCGCCAGCTTGGAGGTCATCACCAAAACACTGTATAGAATGAAGGTCCCTGACTACCTGTGCAGGATTCTATGGAGCTACTTCCAGAACCGTGTTCTGGTTTACGAGACAGACATCCCAAGTAACACAAAGTCATAGAATTATGTTGAGAAAACTTCTATACAACCAAAACCGGTCATACAAAGGTTATATAAACTGCTATAGAACATGTGTGTTGCTTGGGATGGGACAGATATCGATTAGTATCACGGTGGAAATTCCACAAGGTTCCATCCTTGGTCCAACGCTCTGGAACGGAATGTACAACGACGTGCTAACGCTGAAGGTGCCCAAACGAGTTGAGATCGTTCGCTTTGCGGACAACGTCGTCTTGGCGGTAACAGGCAAGACGCTGGAAGAGATGGAAATGTTGGTGATTGAGGCGATCGACATGATTGGAAATAATGCGGTGCAGCTGTCATAAATCACCGTTGGGGAGCACGCCATACCCTCGAAGCGCGTGTTGTCATACCTGGGAGTGATGACCGACGACCGCATGGCTTCAATAGCCACGTCGAATACGCCTGCGAGAAGGCGGTGATGGTGGCTAGTGTATCTACGTTGATACTGAGATAGAAAGATCCAGTCTGGGTTGCAGCGCTGGAAACCAAGCAGAATTTAAGGAAACTGAACAGTACGTACCGGTTCATCAAACCATACGAGAAAAGTTTTGCCTTTTCGAAACGTTTGGAGTACCATTAGTTGCAAGAATAGTAAACATTTACCAGAATTTCCATTGATAGGGGATAAATAATGGTTAATTTTGATTATAAAATCATTATGAAGGTTAAAATATTGATAAATAAAATCCCGATTTTGTCAGCTTCCCGTTTTTGTCAGCCTAAGATTTCAGATGGTGCTGACAAAATCGGGAAAGTACTGTATTCTAAGGGAATTTCAAAGATAAAAATTGAGAAAAAATTATGCCAATTCTTGGAAATTATAACCAGTTTGAGGGAATTGTGGAAAAGGAGAGTGATTTATAGGAGATTACAAGTGATAATGCTATGAACTCTTACAATGTAACTGAAAAAGTTTGTACATTTTCAAGATTATTTTAGAGTAATCCAGAAAAGAAGTTTGATGGAATTCTAGTATGACCCAAATGGAACTCTCAAAAAAGGACGAAAATATCCTGTGAAGAGTTCCAATTAAATTCAGACTAACAAAAAATTTCATGATCTGGGACCCAGGAAAAATATTAATTCCAGAATTTAGAATCCACTTCAACCATGTGAATTTTACTTTAAAAAAAAGCGTTTTGGTTTGCAGGGTGTTTTGTCTTGTATGGGTCAAGAATTCAAATTTAAGTCTGATCAACCTCAGGGTAATATTAGAATTATTTAGAACTAATAAAATCTTTAAAACATATTCTGGTACTGCATCAAATAGTAAGGACTACATCGACTATTAGTTAAAAAAATCCATCCCTTCAAAGTTAATTGTTTTTTAAAAAAAAAACTTGCAGTTTAATAAACAATTCTAAAAATATTTTCTGCAGTATTTTACCAAAAATTTAACTCAAATTTTTGAGTTGCTGCGTAATAGAAATTTAAACTTTTCTTAACTTATGCATGATTTTAACAATGCTAACAAGCTACTTGCTTTATAAATTCATAAACATTCTGAAACTTTGAAAAAATTCCAGATGACCATACTGACCGATTTTTACGGGAGACTGGCTCATCACTTTGATTTTAATAGCATTTAGTTAAGAATAGGATTTTTTGGAGCATTCCAGATTTTTTCAGATTTTACTGACCTGGCAACGCTGATAACGAGTCACTCACGGTGAAGTGATTGCCGTGTAAATCAAATGAGAATCACTATACCGTGAAGTGGCATCGGTAATAATGTCCTGTATTCTCGAATACGCTTGTCCGATTTGAGCACCTTATCATGCGGATAAAGTGATCCGCATGGATTGTAGAACAGTCCTGCTCATCTTCCTGATTCGGTGGAACGCTGTCAACAGACCTCCAGTTACTATCAACATGACGCCTCCAAACACAACGGATGTTCATATTCGACCTTCTAAAGAACAACTTCGATGGCTCGGATCTACTCCAGCAGGTTTCCTTCAATGTGCTTCATCTTCAACTTAGAAAATCGGCATTAATTACTGTTTTGACCTTAGTATAAAGACTGGAACGCGCAAAAATTGGTCGACAAAAATCATTTCTTTCAGTCAAAAATCTTCTTATTTTTCTTTTGGTAGTTTAATTCATATATATTTTTTTTTCGTTTATTCTTTTGGTTTGCCGAATCCGAACTACCGTGCCTTCCGCTTAACCCCTTCCATTAAATTTTGCACAGTGGTCTCATCGGCCTTATTCGCCGCCGAACGACAGTAAGATTCAAACTGCTGCTCGTTTACCATGGATATATTAGTTTTTTTTTTTTTTTTTTTTTTTGAGATTCCGTTTGACCAAGGCCCAATACCGTTCGATAGGGCGGAGTTCTGGGCTGTTGCGAGGGTTGTGGTCTTTGGGTACCACAACCACGTTGTTCGCATCGTACCACTCGATTGCCGTTTCCCATAGTGGCCGCTCGCCAAGTCCGGCCAGTCCGGCCAGTCCGGCCAGACCAGGTCTATAGGGTATGTTGCTTTTGGCGAGATATTTTTTCGGGAACTTCGATAGTTTGATGGTTTTGAAAATTTCAGCCACCTTTGCTTTTCCTGATGCGGCATAAAACTCCTGTCCCGGAAGCTGCTTGAAATCCGCCTTCACATAATTTTCTTCGCCAATGCGACACAGTCGAACTTTGTGAGCAGATTCGTATACAGCTTGACCGCTGCTTTGCCGACGTGTTTTGTTTGTAATCTCGGTTCACCACCTTTACCTTCTTAAACGTCGACAACCCGGCTCATTTCTTGGCCCGCTGCACAGTAGTATGGGAGATATTGAGCTTGCCAGCGACGTCCCGGATGGAGAGGTTAGGATTCCGCTTATATTTTACCGCCACCTTCTTCGCCGCCGCTTGCAGGCTTCCTGACGGTCGACAGACGCTCTCCGAACACTTTTAAAACGTTTGTCGCGGTCGATTTGGCCACATCCAGCAGTTTTGCCAACTTGGAGAGGTGTCGGTTTCTCTTGCTGCGCGAGCAAAATGTTGACACGCTGCTTCTCTTGCTTGGACGTCATTTGGAAAACTGGAGAGCAAACAATAAACAACAAACTAGTTCCATAAAGCACACACTAAGTATAATATATGTACCAGTGTTTCGCTGCACTAGAAAATCATTGAATAAAGTGGACGTTCGTATTACTTCGTATTTCGTGATTAAAATTGAATTTTTGACATCAATTTTGAGCATAAAGATCATCAACATTTTACATATATTGGTTAAAAATATCATGAAACAGATCGTTCGATTGTTAGCCGTACAGCTAAGAAAATGACCTTCCTAGATAAGCAATATTTGAAAGTCAATTTAATGCTGCTGAATTAAGGAATTATAAACTGAAATGTTGCCTTTAAACTCAAATACAAACGCTCAGAGCCCAGCATATGTATGTTATCTTATTATCAGCTACATTTCAAACGTGGGACAAATACTGACTCACCTACCCTAGTCCACAAACCGTAAAGCTATAATATTTCGCTGCCATGACAAACATCACAGGCTTGTTTATCGTTGTCATGGCAACTCCATGTTGACGGCATTTTGCCAATTAGGTACTGCAGCGTGACGTCATAAATGAACTCAGTGTCCATCCGTTGAACTTTTTGAAAGTTCAGTGGTACCAACAATCATACGAAACTAACGATTTTGAATTGGCTCACTACTTGACTAGCCCATTGGTCCCAAGCAAATCGATTAACGTATCCTATTCTAGTATAAATACCAGTACTACACTATGTTTGTTTTGATACACTATGAAAGTTTGACAGATAAAATGAGGGGTTCGTGGATTTTCCTATGTTTTGAGGGGTGCATCGATTAGCTTGGGACCGAAGATAGTACCAGAGCTGAGCCACAAAGTTGAACTCGTTTCTTCGGGACCATCTGGTCTTAAATATATGGTGGTACTGCTTACAAGGACATAGAATTTTTTTTTGAAAAATATATTTTAAAATTTCCGATTTTTAAAAAAGGATGTTAATCGCGAGAGGTGTGGTTTACATCTCACTACAGTCTGAAAAATTATCGAAAAAATCTACCCAAGAAAAAATCAACGTCCACGTGAACAGTACCACTGAACTGTCATCCGATTGAGATTAACCCCGACGGTGCAAAACCTTATTAGATCCAAAGTTGGAGCAATTGTAGTGAACTTCATAAATGTCCCATAGTAATTCGCCATAATCCCCATACAAACATCAAACCAATTGCGCGACCTCTAAACCTTCACCTATCATTACCATTTTTTGCCCAAGCTCATATTGTGTGGCTATGAATCAAACTGTAGGGTGGCCTATTTGATTGCAAACACTTCATCATCCATTCGTGAGAATTAGGGCAATGCTTATCCAATCATAAGTGCACTCATATTTACCCGGTTATACCCACCAGGCTATGCCTAACCAGATCGATTTGACTGAAAACAAGATTATCTTCACCGAATGTTTCATTTCCATCACTAAATAACCGAGCTTCAACTTCCAGCAAAGAACCTTCCAACACGGTTCCATCCAGCGCTACATTAACCATCACCGCCATTCGTTGATGCAGTGCTTGCCCATTGTTGATCAGGCAGCTGAGACGCGCAGTGTCAATGTCGCAAAAATCCATGGTTTTCACGATACTAACGTTTTGAGAGAAATTGATCTCCAGCCAGGTTCCGTAAGCGGATTCTCCCGCATTACTAATTTCGTACTGCAGTTCCAGTGTCCGGGAGCTATTTATCACGAATGGCGATTCAAAATTCAAAAACGTTCCATTCAGTTTTAAGTCAGTAAGACACAGTTGCTCCTCGCAGTTGGGTTTGAAAATGATTCTCTTTTCAATTTGAGCCGGTCGCTTTGGATCTGACTCCTGGACAGTACATTCTTCACAGAAACTCTGGCTAGTAGTATTTTGGTTCACAATTGAGTACTGCAGCTTGAACCTGACCGGAATGGACAAGTGTCTGAAGGACGCATTAATCGAAGCATTCAAGTTGATACATGAGATCTGCTGCGCGATTTGTACGGTCGCTTCGAATGATGACTGCTTTGACACCTTCGCTCGTTCGAAAGGGAAGTCTAACAAGAGTTCTAGTCTGAAATCTTGAGAAATCAGTTAGACATTAACATTTCATATAATTTTACCATAAAGTTGTAATACCAAAGGCACGATTTGCATTGCGATCTTCCAGGTATTCATAAGAGTAACAAATTTCAATGGAAATCTCATCTTCAATCCAACTGTTCGCACCGGACGGCACCGTAGCGTTTTCAATCGAAATGAAACCTTTTGAGAGAGTCATCTCCACTTTCGGTCGAACAATTGGGTAGGTTCGATACAGATATACTGTCTCATCATTTGGAGCTCCAATGACGATATCGTTGAATCCGTTTTCATCGACGTCGACAGCTTTGGCAATGGCTGCTCCAAACATTGACAAGCCAGGGAATTGGCTGGGATATCTCAGGATCTGGCTGGGCTTGACTTCGATTCCGGTTGGACCTCCATGGAAGATATAGATTGCACCGTTTCCTTCAAAAGGAGCTCCCACAGCAATATCTGTAGATATTTGAAATATGGAAAGTACATTAAAATGTTTATGAATCTTATTTTTGAGCTGATACATTTTATAGAATCTTAATTTAGAAAAATTGGGAGGATACAGTTCACAGAGCTATGAAGCAGCTGTTATAGGCTTATAGACTTTTACATCAAATCTTATTTCTAAAATCCAACAGAGCTTCTCTAATAAGAAATATAATTATAAGAATAAGTTACCTTTCTACGTTACAACCCAAACGTTCAAAAAATGTTTTGCCTAGAATGATCTCTAGATTCTCGCTACAAAAACCCATGATCTCACCATTGGACTTGCTAAATGTCATGATTTTCCAAAGGACCCTTGTTTTGAGCGGATGTATATAGTCTGTTTATTTACTACGGAGCTACTCAGATTTACTGTCCGGTCGTACTTTTTTAAGTCAGAGGAGCGGAGTGACGGGCAAGCGTCCGGAAGCTTCCCGCTGTTATGTTGTTGTCGTAAAATTTCAAATCCCTTATAAAAGCTCTTGGAATTGGATTATACATTCTAAGGTATTCGTGACTGACCCGAGGTTTCCAGCCTCGCTTATGGTTCCACGAATCTGCCGCTCCCTCTGTTGGTCCGCTAGTGCCGCTATCCCTTCTGCTGGTGGTTGCTCGTCGTCCGCACTCTCGACAGTCCGTCAAAAGAGTGCCATCAACGAGTAGTAGTAAAATTTACGTTTATTTTCTGGGTTTTATGTTTCAACATTTGATTTAACATTTCAATTGGTTAGCCTTTGGCTCTTCATCTTTGTTCTAGTTAATTGGTTATTCTAATGTGATGATTGCGTTTAGCGCTAATTTACAGGATACCCTTTGTGGGATTGCTTTGGTTTGAATTTAAAAATTTGATAACCTACCTACTTGAGCACCTAACTACTTATACTAGGTTGCCAAATCACGAATGATCTGGTGGTTTGATCGCAGACAGGCGACTCTGAACCTTTCCAGCGTGGAAGTCTTTCGCTCCTCGAGTGTTTGACGACCGGCCAGGTGGTGAATCTCAGAATTACGAGTTCGCGGTGGACTGTTAAGGATCATTCTGAGGATCTTGTTTTGGATCCTCTGAAGCTTTAAGTGGTGGCACTTTGCACAACTCTCCCAGATTGGCATACCATACTCAATAGCCGGCAGAATGATTTGCTTGTGGACAGCAAGCTTGTTTTTGAGGGACAGGGTGGACTTCCTGTTTATCAGAGGGTAGAGCGACCTGATCAAGATGTTACACTTGGTGGATGTCTTGTCCACATGGGATCGGAATAGCAATTTGCTATCGAGGGTGAGACCAAGGTAGACTACTTCACTCGACCATTCAATGGGAGTGCTATCAAGATGGACCTTGTTGTTAGCAGGTGGAACAAGCCGAGGTGAATTCGAGTGTGGGAACAGAATGGTTTGTGTTTTAGCTGCATTGATACAAATCTTCCAGCTCTTAAAATAGTCGGACAAAACATCCAGGCCTGATTGTAGTTTACTCGCCAGAGCACGGATCACTCGACCCTTATAGATGATGGAGGTGTCATCTGCGAACATTGACAGGATACCACCACCCGGCAGGGGAGGAACGTCTGACGTGAAAATGTTGAATAGGATAGGCCCAAGCAGGCTACCTTGAGGGACCCCTGCATCAACGTTGAACGTATCAGAGGAGACATTGTTCAAGTAGACCTGGAATGATCTGCCCGACAAGTAGTTTTTGATGATCTTCACGAGGTAGTTCGGAAAGTTGTATCGATGCAGCTTGTACACTAGACCATCATGCCAGACATTGTCGAACGCCTTCTCGACGTCCAACAATGCCATGGCAGATGTATTGGAAACGGACTTGTTCCGCTTGATGATGTTAGAACCCGTGCGAGTTGGTGGATGGTAGAGTGGCCTTTCCTAAACCCGAATTGCTCTTTGAGAAAGATGTTATTATCATTTGAAAACACCAGCAGACGGCTGAGTATCAATTTTTCGAATAGCTTCGAGATGGAGGACAAGAGGCTGATGGGGCGATAGCTTTTGGCACTGGTAGGGTCTTTGCCAGGTTTGTGAATTGGAATAACTTTGGCTAACTTCCAGCATGCAGGGAAGTAGCCAAGCATTAAACACTTGTTGAAGACCACCGCAAGATGCTTGAAATGATGTCAAAACTCAAATTTTTCAGCTCGAGGTTGACCACTCCATCGACACCAGCGGCCTTCATGTTCTTTGTTGATTTAATCGCTGCTATCACCTCATCAGCCGATATTCTATTTTCGTCAGGGACAACTACGGGGGTGGCAGCGACTCTAGACATTGCCTGTAATACTGCAGGCTTGTGGGGACTCACCATGGCGTGGCCAAGGTTATGTGAATTTACAAAGTGTTGTCCAAGAGCATTGGCCTTTTCAAATGGGGTTATTAGTAAAGATGGGTCCGAATTTTGGTTAGGAGAGGAAAGGGGAGGAATGGGCCTCGGCTTATTTTTCAAAATCTTTGCCATTTTCCAGAATGGCTTAGCACAATCTGGGAGAGAGCGAATCTTGTTTGCAAAATCGATATTTCTGAGATCCACCATCCTGGCTTGGATGATTTTGCTCAAACGGTTGCAATTGGTCTTCAGATTAGGCAGCCCAGTACGCTGGTACTGCCTACCGATCGTGTTGCGGAGTCTAATGAGGTCTTTAGTAGGCCTGTCAAGGTTCAGAGTGTTACTCACCTGTCTGGATACTGGCACATGTAGCTCCCTGGCCCGGGAAATTGCTTGATCGATGGAGCGCAGACACCGGTCAACATCTTCGGACGATTCCGGTTGGACATCGTAGTCTACAGCGGTGTCGACGCAATGTTGGATGATAGTTGCGCCGGAAAGCTTCAAATCGATTTACGGAGGATCCCACCTCAGTCACCACCGGGTAGTGGTCCGAGCTGAGTTCCTGATAGGTGATAGGTTGAGCGATGTTGTTGCCCATGTTGCTGATGAATATATCGATGGTAGCGTGAACACCGGACCGACTCAACCGGGTGGGAGTTTCCGGACTCAAGTTGTTGTACTGCGCTTCCTGCAGGTCGTTGTTCAGGATGGTGCCGTTTTGATTGCGCCGATTGTTGCCCCAAGCTTGATGTTTGGCGTTCAGGTCGCCAGCGATGATAAAGTTTTCCCGTCGTCGTGTTAGCTTGATAATATCTCGTCGCAGATCTGCTGCCGATCCGTCCCTGATGTTGACTTGTTTGGGGCAGTAAGCCGCGACGATGGTGATGGGGCCGATAGGAGTAGAAACTTCCACCCGTACGGCTTCGATGATCTTCAGCTGAAAGCTGGGCATCAGTCGACAGCAGATGTTTCTCCTTATTGCAATAGCCACTCCTCCTCCTCCAGAGTTGGTTCGATCTAGCCTCACGAGCCGGAAATCGGGAAGGTAGACGTTTGTTTCAGGCTTCAGGTGGGTTTCAGTTATGATGGCAATGTCGATGTTTCGTTCATTGAGAAACTCAACAAACTCGATGTTTTTGCTCTTCAAGGAGCAAGCGTTCCAATTTACGATCTTGATGGCTTCACGGTCCATACTTAGTGACAAGGGACAGGGCAGCATGAAGCTGTTCAGATCGAGTCTTGCAGGTGCGCAAGATGATGATGACCTCGGCCACGAGCGTCACAAGTTCCTCCGAGGAGAACGGAGAATCGTCGACAGGCTCACCTGAGACAACACCAGCGTATGATAAACCAGGGGCGGTGGAGGGACCTGGCATTGGCTGGGCAGCAGCAGCAGCGAGACGATGTTGGACTGTTCGATTGTTAGGAATACTCACATGCTTGACTTGTTGGTTGTTGAGCGGAAGTGGTTCTAAGTTCGGAACATGTCGACGGGGCTGGAGAGCTGGGTACTGGACATCCGTGCGTGCAGGAGGCGAACGATGATTACGGAGGCGACCGGGCTGATTATTGATCGTAGCCTTCCGACGGATATTGATGAACTCCACTCGCTTGGGACATCCGCGATTGGAGGCTTGGTGGTTACCACCGCAGTTGACACACGTTGGCTCGATGTCATCATCTTGCTCACAGGACGCAGTCGAGTGAGTTCCAGCACACTTGCCGCAGATAGTCTTCATATGGCAGTTTTTGGTGCCATGGCCGTAGGAGAGGCAGTTCATACACTGCGTAACATCACGATGTTGGGATTTGTAATGCTCCCAACTGATGATGACCTAAAACAGGTCTCGGATTTTGGATCTCAGAGCCGCTAGACTGGTGGATCCCTTCGTGAAGTGCACCAGGAACAACTGGTCACGGAAGCTGGTGTTGTGGTTGGAACGCCGGTTTATTGGGAACACCGCCTCAGGTTTGAGCCCAAGCCGCTCCAGTTCGGATTTAACCACAGCCGCCTCGAACGACGGTAATCCACGCAATACCAGCTTCAGTGGCTTGCTCGATGGCAGATCGTGCGTGAAGAAGTCAACGTTGTTTTCCTTTAGGAAACATCCTGTTTGATTGTACTCCTCCAGGCTGGAGCACATGATTTTGGTGCCGATGCTGCAAAGCTTGAAGCGAGGCAGCAGCTTGTGTTTTGCCAGTTCGGCACGCAGCTTGGCAACATCCTTCTCCGGCGTGAAAAGCGGGGGAATCCGCTCTCTTGCAGCGATGGGAACGACGTCACCATCGCCATTTTCTTCGGGGAGCACCGCAAACTGGTTGGCTTGCAGTACCCGTTTTCCGGCGTCATCCTGCGACGCGATGTGCTGGATTACCACCTTCTTTGAAGGGCCCGCTGCTGAATCATTGATACGTTTACGCACCATTTGTTTCGTGTTGGCAAGTTGCAGTAAACTTGCCAGAACGCGCGAAGGTGGCGACGCTTCCACGGCGCAACGCGACAGCACAAACCGAATCGAAGCGAGAACTCGAGCGAAAAAGAAAACGAACTGAACAGCTCAACAGTCGAGCAAAGAGTGCCATCAACGAGCTTAGGTACCTCATATTTATACATCTAGCTGTATCAAAATTACCG